CAGTATATACAGTGATAAAAATAAGTATTGAACATGTCAATGTTTTTCTCAAGGTGCCGTTGACTTGAAATTTTCCCCGGATGTTGGCAACAACCTAAGATAACAAATCTAATTAGATTAGAAATTAAGTTATGAAATGAAAAAATCCAGAGAAAAAGTAGTGAACACATGAAGAAAGGGGAAAAGCGAAAAGTGAAAGCCCAGACAGCAGATGAAATCTCTCAGTAGTTCTTAAACAACCCTCTACTCTTTGTCATTGTAATTTAACCTTAGCTACTTTATTCCAATATCTACATTAGCAAGATGAAACCAGTGGACATTTTAGCAAGACAATGATCCAAAACACAGCCGAAGAAACTTTCAAATTATTTCAGAGAAAGAAAATCAAGCTTTAGAATGGCCAGGCCAATCACCTGACTCGAATCCAATATAAAATACAAATTTAAGATCAGATTTGATAGATGAGACCCACAGAAACATCAATATTTTTGCACTCTGCTGAAAGTCTGTGAAACTCACACCTGAGCAACAAGAAAACAAAAGATTCTTAAACATGTTGTGCATTTTATTACACTGCAAAGATCAGCATTATGACCAAACCAGAAAATAAATTTAGTATGATAAAACTATGCTGCTGACATGATTTTTGCCCATAGGATGTCCCATAGGATGTAATAAAGATGACAACTCGTATGATTCCAAACTCATAATCAAAATATGATGTTGTTTGTTATGAATACACGCACTCTAGTGGTGAAAATTGGATATTGTGCCTTTAAAATATTAAATGGATAGCTCACCTTAAAAATGTAAAACTTGTGACATCGCGGAATGGACTGCACAATATGAACTGTAGTAACCTATCGGTGAGAAGAAAGGTAATGACGTTGCAAGTGGCAAATGAATGCATGACAGGAATCTTGGAGGAATTACCTGACACAGTATTTAGTCTTTGGCACTGCTTGAGAAGTGTGCCCTGGTTGCTGATTGGAGTGCTGCCTGACCTGTACGGATCAATGGAGTGTGTGCAGAGTTTGGAGTGACTTGCTTTCTCTAACATAAAAAAGCATTTATTATTATTGTGCAAATTTCTGTTTTTACATTCGTTTATCTACTAATTGGAAACTGCCTTGGGGATGGCAGTTTTTCAGTGTACTCAAAGAAAGTGCAAAGAGGTTATAAAATAGACTTAAAGAACTTTAGATTGAATTAATAAATAAGTTATGAATATTATAACTGGTGCTTGGTTGGACTTCTGCTGGCCAGAGGTGCTATTGAAAGTTGTTGGACTAAACACTTTAATTAAAACACAATCGCGATTGATCATACTTGTGATTATCATGCGCATCTTGTTAGGAGAGCACAGTTTTTACTTTATGTAGCTTGTCAGCATGAAGTGACTCTTTTTAATAAATGCTGCTCCGTACGTGCCGACTTCTACTAGAACTGACTTTACTGAGAAAATGTGCATTAAAACCTCTTTAGGTTTATCATCAGCCCTAGTGGGTAGCAGAAATGTATTTTAACCACTAATAAAATAGGCTGAACGTAAAGACAAAGTAATGCCACCTACTGAACTGGCACTAGTTTTGAGAAGGCCACCCAGTTTTATAGACTCGCATTAAATGATTTAGTTCCTTCAGCTTTGTTGTTCAACACTGAAGAACATAAACTTCAAGAAAGCCTGTATCATATTGTATTAAAAACAAAATATTGTGGGTTTATAATAAAATGTAGTACTTTTGCAGACACGCACAGACTCATTCAAGTCCTCACACCATTACCAATCCACCATGATTTCACTGCGACGTCTCCTTCCCACTAACTCTAACTAGATTCCCCTGCTTCTGTGATGTAAGCCTGTAAATCCCTGGTGCCTGAGGGCTTCATTGACAACCAAAAGCATATGTGGAATGCATATGTGAAGATATAATCAGGCTTTTCCCTTTCGAAATGTGAATTTTGATTCCTAATAGATGGTCTTATGACCAAAAACATTTCTTGGTTATGTTGATTTTAAGCAACCTTTTTATAACCTACACTGAGCTTTAATGTAACATTTGAAGAACAATTAGGTCTTCTGAGGTTGCATTTACCTTCTTGTTTGCACATCTGTGCTGAACACATTCTTGACTGAATATCGTGGTCAAATATGTCCATTTAAAAAAGATGTTTTCCATTTACATGTCGTATCCTTTTTTGATAGAGAATCTTATTCTGTCACCCTCCTTTATTTGATGTTTTCCACACACAATTCTTCTCCCCCTCTTGCTCCATCTACCATTCCCTCTGTACTTTGCCAATGTAAATGGAAAGCAGAGCATTAGATGACAGCGGAGGATTTGTTCTTTAGCACGGAGCTGCTGGCACTGCTCTGTTGAGGAGAGGGAGCGCAGTGGGCTGGGGCAGCTCTCAGTCTCCGATACCCTCGTGTCTATTGCATTAGAAGTGAGTAAGTGGTAATCTCTTCTATCTGAGCGTGGCCTCACAGTCAGTCTGGCTCCAAATTCAGCCGTCATGCCCACTAAAACCCAGCGTGTTGGATCTGATACGGGCCTCCTGTTTTCCCCCTGCAAACTCATTCCACTCTAACTCTGTGGTCAAACCCCTGGGTGGAATGACGGAAATGAAAGGGACAGATGTTTGTATTGGTTTATTACTCAAGTAAAGATGGATGACTTTTCATTTAACAACTAACTAGTTAAGTAGTGAGGTTTGTCTGCAGATCACTGCATTTTCTTCCTAATAAGGTGCTATTAAACTGTTTATGGGGCTGCTGCCTTCGGTATCTGGCGTAAGACAATCCAGTTGGTGTCAGGTGAGCTGGAAACCTGACTTTGCGCATGATGTTTGGAAATGTTTCATGGTATAGCTAATGTTCTCTTCAAGAGCTCACACTCAGCTGATGATTGATTATGAAGCGTGTTTGACATGCTGTCCAGGAGAGAGGCCTGAGCTCATAAGATCCTCGAGCCTGGGACTTCCTCCCGTGAGAGGGTGAGAAGGGGAGTTTGAGCTCAGGTAGATCTCATGAACTCCCCTACTATTTGAAGCTAGTGAGCAATTAGGGATTGTTATGAAGATAAAACTACTTACTAGGAGCACGTCTATAGTTCTGATTTGGATTAGTCAGTTAACTTAAGTTACTGTTATCTTAAGTTAACTTTTCCCCAGGGGAAACTTACATGAGCATGGGGAGAACATGTGAACTCTGCACAGAAACGTTGACTGGCTTGGTAAGGACTAGAACCAGTGACGTTCTTGCTAAGCACTGGGCTGCCGTGCCACTCATTTAGGAAAGGAGGAGGAGTAGGGGAGGAAGTGGGGATTCTTCAAACCGATGATGACTATGGTATAGAACTTACGTTATTTATAGTGACATAGGGTTTGTCTGATTAATGAATCATAAGTTGGATAATGCGGGACCAGCCGTGATCAATCATAAGCACGTGATCGTCTCGAAATTAGTTTATAAATATACTTCACAAAGTGATAATTCACCCCTAAATCAAAAGTATGTCGTCGTGTAGCTACAAACTGAAATAAGTGTTGATTTTTGTAACACAAATGAAGATTTCGAAGATATAATTTTTATTTTAACTTTACTGAATTTATTTTTTTATCTCTTAATGAATGATAGATGTATAGTAGGGGTGTCACGATACGAGAATTTGGTACCAATCGGTACTGAATTTTTAAAAACATTAATTTATTGCTAACATTTGACTGCTGTTGAGCAATCTTAAACACAGCTGATTTGCCATTGTGGAGCATTTTAAAGCTACAATTCATCAGTGAATTGCTCGTATGTCAGCTTAGCAACGTGGCTTTGAAATGCTCCAGTTTCTCTGTATCTGTGTTTACGCTTGGTAAACAGCGGTGAGTTTGGTGAACTGATGATCTTCATGTCCAACAACAGTCATTTCTATTGAGCATGTGAACACAATGCTCAACAGCGTTAAAATGTTCACGGGAAATGGACATTTTCAAAATTTCTGTATCGATTGGTATCAAACTACTGTATTGTGACATTCAATTGAATGTTGCAGTTTTAATCTTGTAATTGTCACAGTGTTCACATTTGGCTGAGTTTAACTAACAAATGACTTTGTTGGGTTTGTTAACACCACAACAATACATTTTTTGCAATGAACACATGCTGTACTCACCAATAAATTGTAAATAGTTCTGTATATGTAACACCATATATTCATAAACTTTCTAAATAACCTGATTACTCCAAGTTGTGTGATACAGCTGTTGCTGAGTGAGAAAGCCGGAAAGACCCAAGAGACTGGGTGTGGAGTTGTACTATCTCTCTCTCTCTCTCTCTCTCTCTCTCTCTCTCTCTCTCTCTCTCTCTCTCTCTCTCTCTCTCTCTCTCTCTCTCTCTCTCTCTGTTTGTGTGTGTGTTTGTGTTTGTGTGTGTGTGTGTGTGTGTGTGTGTGTGTGTGTGTGTGTGTGTGTGTGTGTGTGTGTGTGTCATCTATCTGAGATCTCTGTTAACCCCACCACGCCGCTCTTGTTCCACTGTCTTCCTGCAAATAAGGAAATGGCATGAATGCACAGCTAGGCTACCTCAAACACCTCGTGGGCAGATTGACAAACTCTTTAAGGTGTTTTAAATGCAAAAGTGAAGTTGACTCATAATTGTGATGTCTTGAGGAAACTCTACATAATAGTCTAATTAATGAGTGGGCAGGAGTCTTGAGGGGGCAGTTCAGATTAGATTCTTGGCTTTATGGCAATTTCACGCTGGCGGCCTTCTGATAGCTCTGAACTCGAGGGCCGACCACAGGTCTAAATCTCCTTTGTTGCTTGATTGACTACAGCTCTCAGATTCGGGTTATGCATTGAGGTGCTCCAATGTACTTTTCATGAACTTTCAATGAAAAGTTTAAAAGAAAGTGAACTGGGAATGATAGATTCTTTCTTTAAGGAGATTAGCTAATCCTGAAATTGAGACTAATTGTTTTTTCCTTCTCTTGTTTCTCCCTCAGGTAGTTAACGGACACACTGCACAATGCGTGAATACAAGTTAGTAGTCCTCGGATCAGGAGGTGTTGGCAAGTCTGCGCTGGTAAGTGGCCAACAACTTTCCTTTAACAGTAGTGCTTGCTAAGGTTAATCCATTATGTCATTTGTGATTTAGGCCTGTCACATTAATCAACATGTCGACTTATTGCACAATCATTTTTGGTGATGCAATATATATTGCTAATACATAAAACCAATTCTAGCCACATTTTAGCTAATAGAGGTTGCACACTATCTTTATTGGAGGTGTCAGTTTCAGTATGGTTAAAAACATTATAGTATTTGCTATAAATTATTATAGTATATTTTCATGTGGCTACCTGACAACTGAAAATAGATCTGGTAGCAGATATCATAGCCCTTAATTTTTACCTTGCACTTTTTTGTTAACATGTATTATTATTTACTTGTTTAGGATATGCATTTTCACATTCAGATTCCAATGCCTAATTATTAAATACTTAAAATGACTATTATTAAATTAAATATTCTTAACAATAAAATATTGTGTGTTCGTCTAGAAGAGTATGCATGTGATGAGATTATATTTCATGCCATTCTGGTATTATATTATGAGTGGCTTAAAATGGTCTTAAAAGGATAATATAGATGTTACAACAGTCCTATTTATGTTGGACAAGTGGCACCAACTTGTCAACAACAGTTTCAGTTTCAAGCGAATCCATCTGAGAGTGGTACTGTATATCCGATAACCAATGTATATTGATTACCACAATTCTTTAAATTAAAGTATTGTGACATTGTGACTACATGTCTAATAATTTGAAAAACAAATAGTAAAAAAATAGGTGTTACTTGGGCATGGGGCGGTATGAGATTCTCATAGTATCATAAAAATATGGTGCTGTGATTACTGCTCTAAAAATGTTAATTTTAAATGTCTTTGGAAAAAAACAACTTCTCCCCCATTCAACACAATATGTTTTATTTTAAGACACATTTTAAATATTTTGAAACAGTAAACATGTCCGGCTAAACAATACAAATAAATTACTGACTTCTGCTTGCTTCATTTTTTTCAAAAACACACATTTCTTTGTAACTTGAAAGAGCATCTTTGGATGTCTTTCTTTTCTTTGAATATGAAGTAAGCCACTGCACTGTTCCAGTCTACTGCATGCTTGGAAGATTTTAAAACTGTTTACTGAATCGTGGGCTGACCTGTAGCTTTTGATGTGGAGGGTCCTTTTCTGCTGGGGATACTGTTACCCTAAAAAACTAATTAAAATAGTGGTAAAAAACGTTGATTATATATCTTAGAAATGGTTAAACAGTACGAAACGTTGACTTTTCCAAACCCTTTTCAAACATTTTAAATAATAAAACTATTATGTCATAAAATGGAAAAACAAAAATTTGATAAGGCAGTGTGTAGCTGCTATAGGCTAGGTTGTTTTCCATCACGTGGTTCTGGTGATGCGCGTAATTTAGATGGAGGGCAGGAAGTAAAAATTGAATGGGAGACATGGGGGAAAGTCTGTATTTTTGCAATAAATACCATATTTCAAAGGAGCTATAAATAGAAAATAACCACGTATGTTGAGCATGATCTTTACATCATTTTCTTCTGATCTAAGATGTATTTGCCGTTATTGTGGTGGTAGATGCTGTATAAGCCATTACGTTACATGAAAACTACTATAGTAGTTACTATAGTGTTTGAAAGCATACTATAGATAATTACTTGAATTAAACTGTCGTGGTAATTATATTGTTGCTGTGGTAGAACACAACTGTAGTATTAAGCAAATTATTCAATAGGCTTCAGTTTTCTATGCTATAATTATACACGATCATAATGCACCACAGTTTATACTAATGTTACAGTATTTATTACAGTTTTATCAGTTTACTATGCTACAGTATTCTATATATATATATACAATATTCTAAGTTTTGTCACAAGGCTTGCATTTCTTTTTTGTTCATTTAATGAGCTTGCTTTCAGCAAACATTCACTGCTGCCGCTCACCTCGATGTTCACCTTATGATTGTTTATTCTGCCAAAACGCCAGTAAAGACATGGATTATTGCACAATAAGATGGAGATTTTTGCAGCGATTACATGGCAGGATTTTTTATTTATGTTCTCTTGGATTTTGTATAAATGGGGTGGCGTTTGTATCTGATTTTTATATGATGCACATGGCTAGGCCTGTATATAATAATTATTGGTGCTGTCAAATGAATTATCGCGCTCAAAAATGAAAGTTTGTACACATGGATGTATTAAATAAATGTTTATCATCTACCCCCTTTTCTTCTATTCTTCAGCCAGTTTTCATGAACTTTCCTCCTTTTATGAAGTAAAAACTTTTGGAACTCTATAAAAGCTGTTCAGCATTGATAATTTAGCCGATTTAAACAATAATAAACAACATAAAACAGAAGCATTTTGATGTCCTGATAGCGATTCCTATGTTGAAAAATCACTTCCTGTCCTTCATCTGAGTCTCATCAATGACGTTATGTGAAACCAACCAATTGCAGAGACAAAAATCATGTTGGAGAAGATGAGACTCTACCTTCAAGTATAATTTTAGAAATCCTAAAAATCTAATATTGTGTCAATCCACATGCAGACGCGAGTCTTATTGTTTGTCATTGGTTGATAAATTCAAAAGAAGAGTTTAGCCAAACACCGAGCGATCGTTAATTCATGTCAGTCCAAATCTGTGTGACTTCATCTGTTCTATGAAACCTGAAATATGATCGTTTTATTAAATGTCTTGTTTTTGCTGTGAAATAAGTAAAAAGGGTAAAAAAAACCTAGGTTTAACTGGAAAACAACCTTCAACATTCTTTTAACCCTTAGGGATTTGGCTTTACATTTAAAGGTTATCGGTTTTATAAGAAATATTGGTTTTATAAGAAATGACATCATGCATTGGAGGAAAGCTATATCATCTAACTGCAGAGCAACTGTTTTCTGTATCTGTCAATGTCTCTGGAGAGCATCTTTCCACAGTCAGCTCAGTAGAGGTTGTGAGAACTAAACTGGCCTGCATGTGGTCTGCTGCGCTGCCTTTTTTGAGCCACTCAAACATCACATAGCTGAGTCACGGATACAGCGAAATGACTGTGCCTCAGTGCATTGGCATTTGCTATTCAGTCAGCATAATATATGTCAGTATGGCATTGTGAAACCAAAAGCACATTGGCAGATCTCTCATCAAAATTCGGTGGGTCAGAACGACAAACCATTGGAAAGTTTCCACTGTATGCTATGCGAGAATACCAGATTCCAATATTAATTTACTCTGATGTTTAAAAACAGAGTGTTTCCTCATCTCTTATCATCAAGGTCGCTGTTTGCTTCCTTAGCTTGTTAGCACGCTAGTAATACCCAACGTCCCGCTGACACCACTTTGACCTAGTTTGTTCCATCCTAGTGAACTCAAATGGCTCACCCATTGGAGAGCAGCCACAATGGCCCGACCCACTCACCTCGGGGCCCAACAAAGACCCCATTGGCTGTATGTGTGCCACGGGGTGTGAGAACCACCCGCCTCTACCTCTTCCCTCTCAGGGCAGACCTCTTTTAGCGTAAAGCACATAGACTTTTATTGTCCATTAACTCTAATTGGAGCACTATGGATGGTCTGGACGAAATGGGCATGCAGAGTTAATCGTGTTGTAAATGCATTCCCATTAAGCTCCTGTCCTGGTTCATGAAGATGGGGAGAAAGAGGCAGGTCTGTAAAATCAGATGGTTACAGTGAAGGGGTCAGATTGGTGTCCTGTAATGGAGCTGTATAGACTGCAACAATGGCCATCCACTTCATAAGTGACCCCTTCCGAAATCTGAAGAAAAGACTAATAAGGGACGAATGAATAGACTAATTGTTCTGTAGATTATATGTTTAAATTAGTGTCTTTTTAAAGTATTGAAGGGTTTGAGTTTGTTTGATCAGCCATTTACAACAACTCTGGCTTAACCGATGGGAGCATTTTATATGTGTATATATATATATACACACACACACACACAGTTGAAGTCAGAATTATTAGCCGCCCTTTGATTTTTTTATTTTTTTATTTTCTTTTATTTCCCAAATTATTTTTACAAGAGCAAGTAAATTTTCACAGTATGTCTGATAATGTTTTTTCTTCTGGAGATAGTCTTGCTTTTTTTATTTTGGCTAGAATAAAAGCAGTTATTAATTTTTTTAAAACTATTTTAAGGTCAAAATTATTAGCCCCTTTAAGCTAATTTTTGACTGTACAGAACAAACCATCGTTATACAATAACTTGCCCAATTACCCTAATCTGCCTAGTTAACCTTATAAACCTAGCTAAGACTTTAAATGTCACTTTAAGCTGTAAAGAAGTGTCGTGAAAAATATCTAGTAAAATATTATTTAATGTCATCATGACAAAGATAAAATAAATCAGTTATTAAAACTATTATGTTTAGAAATGTGTTGAAGAATATAATTTCTCCATTAAACAGAAATTAGGGAAAAAATAAACAGGGCTATTAATTCAGAGGGGGCTAATAATTCTGACTTCAAATATATTAACAATAATAAAATACTAGAACTGCTTTCTCATACTCCTCTTTCTCCTTTTTCTCTTTCTCCTTTTTTTATTAGTATTTTTTTTTGTATCTGTGAAATGATACCTGGATAGTTTTTTTTTGTAAAACGGTGGTTAAAAAAAAAAAAAAAATCATTTATAAAATGTTTTACAATTGCCATGTCTTTACAGTCGTTTTTGTTAATTGATGCATTATTACTAAGAAGTATAGATTTTTTAACAGTAATGTTAGGAACAACAAGAAGAAGAACAACAAGTATAATACTAATAAACAAAAATCTAGTCTAGTTACTTTAATAGTAACTACTATTAAACTACTATTAAATACTATTAATACTACTATTACTATTAAAAATGAAATATTAATTCAGTAAACATATATTTTTACTTGACAATATTAATTTATCTTTAAAGGTGCAGTGAAGTGCTTTGAAATGTGTATTTTTTAAATTCGATGTTTGAGTAATCTCAGCTGAAACAAA